GTATTCGAACACCCGGACGTCGAGTATACGCCCACGCCACCAGAGTGCGGGTGAGGGACATCCGTGGGAAGAGAAGAGTCGCCGGGGAGGGGGGGTGGGAGAGGGGGGGGTGTGTTGGGATGTGGGCCAGGGGGGACTGCTATATAAATGACGGAGATGCTCGTCGTCTCGTTCAGGGTGTAAATTGCAGGGTTTGGTCTCTTTAAGGGTGTTTGGGACGGAAAGTCGCTATATTTACCCATCCAGGTATAGCTTAGAGCTGTGCATGAAGAACTTTACAAAAATGCTGTGACACTAGTCAAAACTTCTGAAAAACAACACGACATCCCTGACACGAGACAAAACACTCTTACTAGCTTTTATGTAAATGTCTGTTTTTGGATGACCTCCTTTAGGGGTAAGTTAAAGATTGAGCAACTCCCACATTGGTCTCCCTTAGGGGTTTAATTTTAATTTTCCGAAGACCATCCCCGTCACTTTTATATAAGAGTGTCCCCCCGCCCGCCCTGGGGAGGAGTGCGGGCTCATTTTCCCGAACAGCGGCTGGTAATCGAGCCCATCAACCTGTAGGTACATAAACCCGTCGTAAAGTAAGAAAATTAATTTCTAACAATCGTATTCTATTTTATTGAATTCTGTAAAGGCCCTTAAATACCACCACGCAAAAGTAGTACCAAAGAGGTAATTGAAGAGGATTCACTTTGTAAGGTTACGCCAAAGAATTTCATACCTAGATTCAAAAGTTACACCTACAGCTCAAGTTTCCGTAACTGCCGTCTGGGCGTGATAGAAAGCTTAGCAACGACGAAGGCGAAGGCTGCGAAATCGTTACTTAAAAAGTGAATAATGGCGCTGCATTAAAGTTATCGCTTTTATCCCATTTGGTCCATTTTGTTGGCTGTAGGCGAGTTTTTGTGCGGTTGAATCCTAAAGGACTGTATCTGAGTTCAGAAAACGGAAAAAGAAAATGGTTGTCCTGTGTTCAAGTTCTCCATAAAACTGACGTGAAGGTAGTTTCCGTTCAGTCGTGCATCGACAGCAAAGTAATCAACAAAAAGCGTAACCTGTGCTCGTGCAAAGTTGGAAGTTTTGCTTTTTCTGCCGTTTTCGTTGCCGTTGCCTTTGTGGTCGCTTAAGCTCCTTATTTACCGTTTGCATCGACGGGTCGCTCCTGATTAAGGTTATGTTGACACCATACCGGATAGCCATTCGTGCCGACACGAAAAGCTGGCCGATTTAGTATGATCAGGAACGGCACAGAACTGGAGAACTAGAACAAGTCGTTCACCATATTGAACATCGTACAGGAACGGTTGGCTGAGAGTTTTTGGTTCTCTTAACCCAATCCTCACTCCTGGGCCCTGTTCCTGTAAGGCCGATTAGCGCTAATCCAGGATTAAAATTTTGTTCCGTTTTTGTATTTTACCTTCGGTGTATTGCCTAGAGTAGCATTTTGTGTTATCATTACTGTATGTCGGAGTAGATGCTCAACAGTATTTTGTATGCTCCAGTTGCATGTTACTTCCGCCTCATTGGATTCCAGTCCTATTTTCTACTTATTCACCTCCGCCACGGTCCCGGAATACCTGTTCACACTGCACCAAAGAGTGACACAGTACCTATCCCATACTAACGCGCCACTTTCGAGATCGGCGCCGCGCTGCCTGCGCAGCTTCGCTCCTTTACAGAAATCGCGTCGAAATCACCAGTTCTCATGTGTGAACAGAAGCCCTATCCAGTATGATTTTCGCTCTGGCGCATTGGATAGCTATCCGGTATAGTGTGAACATTTCTGGACTGCATAGCGGGATGTCGCGTGTTCGGTCCCCGGGAACGGATTAATACTCAAGGTCTTAAAATAACTGAGAAATAAAGGTACTGCGGCCTTTGCCCTGTAAAACGGCTTGTCCTTCGCGCGGCTTAGACTGACCAAGTAGAAATAGCCGTCCACTCTCTAAAAGGGGAGGAAAAACAGTGTCCTCAATTTGTACTTTTGTGCTAAAGGTATTGACTTTAGAATAATCATACAGAAAAGTTGAAAAAAAAAAAAGAAAGGAAGGAAAAAGAAAACAAAAAGAACATCTTTTGGTTAAACTCGCTGAATATATTTAATATTTGTGACCGCCTTAAACCGTTCTCTCTTACCACACCCACTTTCGGAGGTCGGCCATTAATTGCAGAAAAATATTGGTAGCCTTTTTACAACAGGTGCAAATTATAGCTCTTAACTTCTTCTCTCCCAGAGGGAATGATGGACTGTAATGATGGAGTGTTGAAAGGTGGCACTAACCTTTGAGTCTGTGGATAAAATGCAATAGTGTGACCAGTCAAATGACACTTCTGTAGTGGTACTTTCACATGGTACTATTTATTTAGCACGTAGTTCTAACTTTTAAGTTTGTGGAAGAAATCCTATGGTGTGACCATTCATATGAAACCTCTTCAGTAGTACGTTCACATGGTGCTTTTTGTTTAGTATGTAGTTCTATCTTTTGAGTCTGGACAAAATGCTGTAGTAAGACCATTCAAATGAAACCTCTGTTGCAGTACTTTCACATAGTGCTATTCGTAATTCTAACTTTTGAGTCTGTACAAAAAATGCGTTAGTGTGTCGAATATTCAAAGGAAACCCCTGTCGCCGTACTTTCACATGGTTCTATTTGTTCTTTGGCACTGTAAAAAACAAAATTTGGATTTTTCATCTAATTTTGACTTGAACCATTTCTGGGAGTACGATTTTATCCCTCTGACTCCCGAGTGTATCTAAGCATCCTTTTAGGTTTTTTTTTAGATACTTGTTGCTGTTTCTTAACGAACTGCCCTCTTTGTGCTTTTTCATGTATCGAACTCAAGCAGCATAGTATCACTGTTATTTTGAAGTTGATGTCGTGGTCGTCGACCGTGACTCAACTGAACTTGTTTTCTTTGTGATTCAAATGTATTCTTTATCAAAACATTTATCAGAACGTGAGTCAAAACATTTATCTTCGCTACAGTTGTTTGCTCTGAGTAATTACCTCCTTATGACCTGAGGGAAACCACAGCAATTTAAAACATGTTAATAATTCTGTTTTTATGAGAGTTATGCCTTGCTGTCGCTTGCTTTTTAAAAGCCATAAAGTTAGACTCTAGCATACTTTCTGGTAGAAGATATGATCCACTGGAATTATTTTAGCCCTTTCTCGAATAATTAATTTTAGCCCATTGTTGTAACTCTTTCAACTATATGGAAATCCGAAACGCTGAATCCAAAATGGCAGATTTTGTTCACTTTTACGTCACGTCACATGAACAGCCTTGTCCCTAGCACAAACCCTAGTAATTGACAATAACAATATTAAAAGGAATAAGCTCCTTCACCCTACCAAAAAGAAATGTTCAGGTCGGAATACCGGATTACTGAATCCAAGATGGCAGCGTTTTCACGTTTCACGTCACGTCACGTGCGTAACGTTATAAGGTAACCCAAACCCTAGTAAAAAAAGTTTCTTACTAGAAGTTGACACTAGCAATATTTGAAAGAGTTTGCCCCTTCAACCCACCAACAAGAAATGGTGAGGTCAGACCACTGGATTACTTGATTAAACACTACATTAATTTTCGTGCTCGCCTTTCTGGCTTTTTTTTCATCCTAATTGTTTTATTGCCTTTCAACAGGTAAAATCAGAACGCGATGATTTAACGAGGAAACTGAAACGAAGAGAAGAAGCTATTGAAGCAAGACAAGAGTCGTCGTTATTAAGCGAACAAGTCGAAATAACGAGACACGAACGAAGTGAGTCAATGTTTGAGCAAAGTGCTCTTATGCGGGACAAACTCGAAAAAGAGGTCTCAGTAAGGAAAATAAGCGCTGAACTCACAAAGTCTCAACAAAGAAATATTGAAATGGACGCGAAGGTGACTTCCTTGGAAGAAAAATCAGAGACCTATAAAAGAGAACGAGATCACGCTAAAGAGCAATGGAGGCAGTCGGTTAAGGAAAGGAAAAGATTGCATCGTGAAATTGCTGCCATTGTGCAAGCCAGGGACGAAGCGATACAGAAGTGCTTTTCAACGGCAGAACAGTTAGAGAAGTTGAAGGAGGAGTACAATCACTTGCTAAACCGCTTAGCGAAAACTGGTTTGAGTGCGAATAATTCGAGCGAACTTTCAATTCCGTGCTCGCTGAAGGAGTGCAGGTTTTGTGCTGGAGATACACCGGAAGGCGTTGAGGTAGGACATTTTGATATACCGCTTGTTCTTTGCTGTCAACTCGTAGGCTCGTTTATCGCCGTCTCATCTCCGGGGTCCGGTCTTTGATCCTCCTTGAATAGAGATTCTTTCAGGGCTGCGGAGAGGAGAAGGGGGGGGGGGGGGGGTGGGGGGGGGGGCCGGGGGGGGCGGCTTGGTAAGTGGGGGGGGGGCTCGTGGCCCCGTTGGGGGGGTGATTTGCGGGGTTTGGCTGTGTGAGGGGGGTTGGGGGTGGGATGGGGGGTTTTTTGCNATGAAGAACTTTACAAAAATGCTGTGACACTAGTCAAAACTTCTGAAAAACAACACGACATCCCTGACACGAGACAAAACACTCTTACTAGCTTTTATGTAAATGTCTGTTTTTGGATGACCTCCTTTAGGGGTAAGTTAAAGATTGAGCAACTCCCACATTGGTCTCCCTTAGGGGTTTAATTTTAATTTTCCGAAGACCATCCCCGTCACTTTTATATAAGAGTGTCCCCCCGCCCGCCCTGGGGAGGAGTGCGGGCTCATTTTCCCGAACAGCGGCTGGTAATCGAGCCCATCAACCTGTAGGTACATAAACCCGTCGTAAAGTAAGAAAATTAATTTCTAACAATCGTATTCTATTTTATTGAATTCTGTAAAGGCCCTTAAATACCACCACGCAAAAGTAGTACCAAAGAGGTAATTGAAGAGGATTCACTTTGTAAGGTTACGCCAAAGAATTTCATACCTAGATTCAAAAGTTACACCTACAGCTCAAGTTTCCGTAACTGCCGTCTGGGCGTGATAGAAAGCTTAGCAACGACGAAGGCGAAGGCTGCGAAATCGTTACTTAAAAAGTGAATAATGGCGCTGCATTAAAGTTATCGCTTTTATCCCATTTGGTCCATTTTGTTGGCTGTAGGCGAGTTTTTGTGCGGTTGAATCCTAAAGGACTGTATCTGAGTTCAGAAAACGGAAAAAGAAAATGGTTGTCCTGTGTTCAAGTTCTCCATAAAACTGACGTGAAGGTAGTTTCCGTTCAGTCGTGCATCGACAGCAAAGTAATCAACAAAAAGCGTAACCTGTGCTCGTGCAAAGTTGGAAGTTTTGCTTTTTCTGCCGTTTTCGTTGCCGTTGCCTTTGTGGTCGCTTAAGCTCCTTATTTACCGTTTGCATCGACGGGTCGCTCCTGATTAAGGTTATGTTGACACCATACCGGATAGCCATTCGTGCCGACACGAAAAGCTGGCCGATTTAGTATGATCAGGAACGGCACAGAACTGGAGAACTAGAACAAGTCGTTCACCATATTGAACATCGTACAGGAACGGTTGGCTGAGAGTTTTTGGTTCTCTTAACCCAATCCTCACTCCTGGGCCCTGTTCCTGTAAGGCCGATTAGCGCTAATCCAGGATTAAAATTTTGTTCCGTTTTTGTATTTTACCTTCGGTGTATTGCCTAGAGTAGCATTTTGTGTTATCATTACTGTATGTCGGAGTAGATGCTCAACAGTATTTTGTATGCTCCAGTTGCATGTTACTTCCGCCTCATTGGATTCCAGTCCTATTTTCTACTTATTCACCTCCGCCACGGTCCCGGAATACCTGTTCACACTGCACCAAAGAGTGGCACAGTACCTATCCCATACTAACGCGCCACTTTCGAGATCGGCGCCGCGCTGCCTGCGCAGCTTCGCTCCTTTACAGAAATCGCGTCGAAATCACCAGTTCTCATGTGTGAACAGAAGCCCTATCCAGTATGATTTTCGCTCTGGCGCATTGGATAGCTATCCGGTATAGTGTGAACACAGTCTAAGAGGCCTAAGTATTCGGGACTAGGCATTTGAAGTTTGTCCCATTACATGAGCATAATTAGTCGCTTAATCCGAAAACGGTTTCGTCTTTTTGCCCACTTTTGGTTCTTATCGCAATATATAGATTTAGCCGAGGCTAAAGGCGAAGCTCCAGTTAATGAAAAACATTGCAATAAAGAAATCCAATTAGAGTTGAGCCTGCGATCAGTTGAAAACTAGAAACTTGTCTGCAGTAAACTTAAAAAAACTCGTACTCTCGATGGGTCGACACCGAAATACGGTCATGCGATAATGGTCAGTGGATACCCTGTTTTGATAGCTGTCAACTGCCTACAACATAGATGTGCAATATCAGGTTGCAGGCTCCCACATTAGCCAGAAAGTGTAACATTTCGCATTGGTTTCCCTGTGGTGCGGACGGGCGGGCGGGTGGACGAACGGTCACGTGACTACCAAAATTTCTTGGATGGATAGGTAACCAAATTTTCTTAGCTGTGGGGATCCTCTCGCGCGCGCTATTGTTCTAATTCTAGCGATAAAAATTAGGTTAACTTGTTGACAATTTTTATATCTTCAGTCTCCAGACACGTCTTTTACTGAAAGTGAGGAAGTACGAGTATCAGTAGAAAAGGTGTGTTAATATTTTCCAGTTTGCACAATATTAATAATTATAATTGAACTGTATCTTTGTCACAAGGGTAGATTTTGATCCTGGGTTTACATTGTATTTTTCTTTGTTTCAAATTGACTGTCATACATTACTATACCCAAAAACAATACAGTAACACTATACAGTCAACTCTCTCCAAGACGGACACCTTTGAGACCGGCACTAAGTGTCCGTCTTAGAGAGATGTCCGTCTTATAGAGAGTCAAATAAAGGGAATAAGCAAAGGCAGGGACCAACTCTAGGTGTCCGTTTTACAGAGGTGTCCGTTAAGAGAGGGTCGACTGTATTTTACTCGATAGCTGTCATCGGTATCGTAAAACATGCAATTAATTCACACATTAAACTCGCACGGTTTAGTACCAGCTAGTGCAATGTTGAGTGCACTTTTTGCGCAAAGCTCAGGTACACTGCTCTCACTTCAAAGCATCAGCTTCTGCTAACTGGTTATTTATGAAACCTTAACTAACAGTTACGCCTCCCTAATACGGACACCAAAGGGACAGGGCCAAGTGTTTGCATTACAAAGGTGTTCATGTTACAGAGGTGGAAACCAATAGTACTGACTGTAATAAAGGGAGGCAATGTTATACACGGGTCGGTAAGAAAAGGCTCGACTGTATAAGTTATCTTTTTGTATGCTTACTCACTTATAGGATGATCCCCTCGATTCCATCAAATTGGCGCGAGTTTCGATTAGTGGCAGGCCATGTACAGCCATCACTGATATCGACAAGGCTTTTGGAACCGCCAGGAACATCAGGTATTAATTAGCGTCACTTTCCTTCGTTAAGTCACTTTGCTAAGTACCGCTGTTTTTTCAATGTACAAACATCCGTAAAGTTTCTGATCTCCATTTGCGTTACTTTGCTCTATTATGTTTTCAGAAAATATGACGAGGTTGTATCCATCAACGATATCCCGGTAAGCGAATCGGATCAAAATCTTGTTAAATCTTTGCTGGATGGAGCTGTAACGACGCTTAATATGGTAAGACTTGAACTGTTGGTTATTTCTTTTGCTACCAACCCTTTTTTTCTCATTCTCATTTACATGTCAATTAAAGGAGATAGGCGTAGAGGTCACCATAAAAAAACTTGAGTCCATTATGCCGTCAACTCGACGTCTATTCCTGATTTTATTCTCGCCATAATTTGTTTGTATTCGTTGTTTCTTTTTATAGGTTCTCAGGCGACCTGTTGGCAGTTGTCAGGTTAACCTGGACTTGGATCTCAAAATTCCAAAGAAACATAAAACCGGTAAGAAAGTGATAAACATTTATGGTAAAGGCTGTACTCATTTAAGTCAAATGTCGTCCGCCAATTGGTCAGTAGACAAACGACATTGCCCCTATTGTAGTGCTTAGGTCTAGGGACCTTCCCTCAGTTGGTCATTGGACAAATGAAATTGCCCCTTATGTAGTTCTTAGGTCTAGGGATCTTCCATCAGTTGGACATTGGACAAATGAAATTGCCCGTTGTGTAGTGCTTAGGTCTAGGGATCTTCCATCAGTTGGTTATTGCACAAATGAAATTGCCCCTTATGTAGTGCTTAGGTCTAGGGATCTTCCATCAGTTAGAATTTGGACAAATGAAATTGCCCCTTATGTAGTGCTCAAGTCTAGCGATCTTCCATCAGCTGGTCATTGGACAAACGACATTGTCCCTATTGTAGTGCTTAGGTCTAGGGATCTTCCATCAGTTGGACATTGGACAAATGAAATTGCCCCTTATGTAGTGCTTGGGTCTAAGGATCTTCCATCAGTTGGTCATTGGACAAACGACGTTTTTTGTTGCAGTGCCCATAGACACATGTATTGTAGCGCTGCTTTTTCAGTCCTTTTTCAACTTCAAAATCTTTTTGCAGGTCTCGGATTTGAGTGTGGGTTGTACGTGAAAGCACTAAAGGATAGCTGTATCTCAGAAGATCAAAACAAACTCGAAATAGGAGATTATGTTATGAAGGTAAGATAAAATCATTTTTGTAATCCGGTGATCGAGCAATTTTCAGTGGTTATATCCGACCCATTGCGCCACCTATTTGATAGCTGGGCACGCTACGCTTCGGAGGTTTTATCATTTTCCGCTAGGCCTTAGGTTTCGTTATTTTGGCCAATAGTATTTCATTAGATTAAGAGATGCATTTAACATTTTCTTTCATCATTACATCTTATCACTATTTCTTCAAAACTTGTTACTAAATTTATTATTTGTAAGTTAAGCTTACCTCGGCGTTCCCCGTTGTTGTAGATCAACGGTAAACATCTGGATAAAATCATTGCTTCATCTGTGGAGAAAGTTTCCAAGAAAAACGGTGACAAATTGAAGCTTCACGTATCCAGAACGATCCAAGCCAAGCCAGGAATGTGCGAATTCAAGGTAGGTTGCTTTCTCACCTACGTAGATATATGAGAAGTAAAGCCCAGTTGATTCTTTAAGCTCTCATAGTGACCAGTAATAGAAACCCAGTAATAGAAACCCGGTCACCAGCACCTGCAATTTCTTCTTTCGCTTTCGAAATAAGCACAGAGGCTTAAAAAAACAACGATAAAGTGGATTATTTGGTACCGTGGAACGAAAAAAGACAATTCCTTGCTCTTTTAAAACTGCAGTCAAACCTCCACGTGCAACCACCTCTCGTTACGATCCAATCATATTTAGCGACCAAATTACAGTAAAAATGGCGCGGCTATTTCTGGTCGTTTACGAGAACTTGCTGTCGTAAGCGATCTTGTGATAAAAGTATTGTGGGTGTTCGCTTATTAGAGTTTTTGTGACAAAAAAAACAAAAGTGGCGTAATTATGTTGTTGATTGCAAATCGTTAATCCATTCAGCTAAAATATTATTAGATAGTTTCTCTTTTAACGTATAAAATACAAAATCAGCTTTTATTTTACGTTACCCCGTTTATTCTAGTGTTGACTAATTAGTTAACGATAATATAAAAACCAATGAAAAGATCAGCCTGTGATTCAGAAAAAGTGGCCCCTTCGATTACCAGAGCCCTTCTTTGCAGAGTTAAATTACAGTTCAAACTGGGTTTCACCAAGCTGGTCATAACTAGTGCAGGTCGCTTACGAGAGTGGTCGGAAGGCCGAAAGCGTCGACTGCACTAAATACTTTTCAATTGGAACCCTCGGATAATAGTCCTGAATAAGACTGTTGTTGATAGTTACTGGCTCTTTTTCGTGAACCTGTTGGACGATCATCTGTCGTACCTCATTCTCCTGGTATCTCTCAAGNTGCCCCTTATGTAGTGCTTAGGTCTAGGGATCTTTCATTAGTTGGTCATTGCATAAATGAAATTGCCCCTTACGTAGTGCTTAGGGCTAGGGATCTTCAATCAGTTGGTCATTGGACAAATGAAATTGCCCCTTATGTAGTGCTTAGGTCTAGGGATCTTCCATCAGCTGGTCATTGGACAAATGAAATTGCCCCTTATGTAGTGCTTTGGTCTAGGGATCTTCTATCAGTTGTCATTAGACAAACGACATTTTATGTTGCAGTGCCCGTAGACACCTGTATTGTAGCGCTGCTTTTTCAGTCTTTTTCAACTTCAAAATCATTTACAGGTCTCGGATTTGAGTGTGGGTTGTACGTAAAAGCACTAAAGGATAGCTGTATCTCAGAAGATCAAAACAAACTCGAAATAGGAGATTATGTTATGAAGGTAAGATAAAATCAGTTTTGTAATCCGGTGATTGAGCAATGTTTAGTGGTTATTTCCGACCTATTGCGCCACCTATTCGATAGCTGGGCACGCTACGCTTCGGAGGTTTTATCATTTTCCGGTAGGCCTTAGGTTTCGTTATTTTGGCCAATAGTATTTCATTAGATTAAGAGATGCATTTAACATTTTCTTTCATCATTACATCTTATCACTATTTCTTCAAAACTTGTTAATAAATTTATTATTTGTAAGTTAAGCTTACCTCGGCGTTTCACGTTGTTGTAGATCAACGGCAAACATCTGGATAAAATCATTGCTTCATCTGTGGAGAAGGTTTCTAAGAAAAACGGTGACAAATTGAAGCTTCACGTGTCCAGAACGATCCAAGCCAAGCCAGGAATTTGCGAATTCAAGGTAGGTTGCTTTCTCACCTACGTAGATATATGAGACGTAAAGCCCAGTTGATTCTTTAAGCTCTTATAGTGACCAGTAATAGAAACCTGGTCACCAGCCCTTGCAATTTTGTTCTTTCCCTTTTGATATAAAAACAGAGGTTTGAAAAAACAAAAACAAAGATGAAGTGGATTATTTGGTTCCATGGAACGAAAAAAGACAGTTTCTTGCTCTTTTTAAACTGGAGTCAAACCTCCACGTGCAACCACCTCTCGTTACGATCCAATCCTATTTAGCGACCAAATTACAGTCAAAATGGCGCAGCCATTGCTGGTCGTTTACGAGGGCTTGCTGTCGTAAGCGATCATGAAAGAAAAGTATTGTGGGTGTTCGCTTACCAGAGTTTTTTTGACAAAAAAGAAAAGTGGCGTAATTATTTTGTTGATTGCAAATCGTTAATCCATTCAGCTAACATATTATTAGATAGCTTCTCTTTTAACGAATAAAATACAAAATCAGCTTTTATGTTATGGTATTACTCTAATTCGGTCAGTACGTTACTGTTTTCATTCAAGTGTTGACTAAGTGGTTCACGACAACATTAAAACCAATGAAAAGATCAGCCCGTGATTCAGGAAAAGTGGCGCCTTCGCTTACCAGAGCTCTTCTTTGAAGAGTTAAATTACAGTTTAAACGGGTTTCACCAACCTGGTCATAACTAGTGCAGGTCGCTTACGAGAGTGGTCGCAAGGCCGAGAGCGTCGACTGCACTGAATACTTTTTCCTTTACAAAACATTCAGTTGGAACCCTCTGATAATAGTTCTGAATAAGACTGTTGTTGATAGTTACTGGCTATTTTTTTGTGAATCTGATGGACGATCCTCTTTTGTACATCTTTCTCCTGGTATTTCTCAAGTTTTTTGCCACCCTCTTGTCTATATCAAGGTAACTGGAGAGGGGTGAATGAACTTACTAACCCCCCTCTGTACTTTTGTACATTTTCCAATCCTACTTGCCTTTTTCTCCAGACTTGTAACGCTACTGATTCCGAGTCCGAGAGCGTTGTATTAAGGCGTCTTCCTCGTGGTAATGGAGACAACCGTCTTTCACTCATATCGAATGACAGCTCTTTATCACGTGACTCCAAATTTTCTATGAACTCAAGCGCTGGTTCCATGAGCTCGAACAACGAATCGTCACTGGCGGACTCGACCTCAGACCTTTACGGAAATAGATACCCGGTTTATGGACTTTTCCTGTCCGACAGACATAAAACTGGAAGTGGTATTTATACACCTGCATCAGATTCTCAACTGGAAACAATAGTGGCAGACGATTGGCCTGACGCGAGGACAGTAACTAGCGCGGATGATTCCCAGGATGCCTCGGATGCTAAAGAGAGCGATGCTTGCGACTATGGGACTTTGAAACGGAACAGTCGCGCGCCAGTAAACCGGAAGTTCGTTAGTACGTCGCAACTGCAGTCGGGAACGTTTTTGACGCCGACTTTGGACGGTACGTTGCATCGTGCCCAGTCCACCATCACTGCTGTTCGAGTCGACGATGATGGATTGAGTTCGAGCATAATAAGGTCGAGCACTTGTGGAACAATCGTCCCTGTAGGAGAAAGGTTCGTAAATTTTGAAAGTTTGTGTTTCAGTCCCCTCAGTTAACTCGTCTTATACGGACCTCTAGTAGGAAAAATGTGTTGCTGTTGTTTCGCCATGTTGCCCTTTTGTTTGAAACGCTTGTGTTGGAAGGAAAATTTGCCACTTATACGCACATCTGCTTAAAAAATAGTTCTATTTCTAAGCTTGCCCATTTTCAAAATCCTTTAAAAATTTGCTTACATTTGAATGGTTCAAATTCGACATGTCACTTAATAGGCGTCGCGTTGCATATTTCACAGAGATAACTTATGCTTTACTTGATATGCGGTACATTCTTTTTTTATATAAGAACTTTTTTTTACAAGAACGTAAGATTAAGAACATGCCAAGAACATACCCGAAGCTCAGAGAAGAACAATTAATGTATTTTCACCGCCTTAAATTGCCTAAATCCAAAAAATCTGAATTACTAATAAGGTCCTACATGGAATCAGAGGGCATGTAAAGCGAAGCCACGTTAAAGACTTAGTGTAAGGCGATTCACTGACTGCTACAACGAGCCCCGTGTCATCTGATCTATGATAATATGTAACTTAAAAGTTATCAGATTTCAGTTATTGAATTTTTTTCCGTAAGAACATTTCCCAGAGGAAACTGCCCAGAAAATAAGAACGGTCCAGGCTCAACTGGAAAAATGGACGTTCTTATTAAAAAAGAGTGTATTTGAGATTCTGTTACAAAGCAAACTCAGTCATTAATGTTGGTTAGAGTAGTGTACAATTTACAAGAGTTATAATTTGTTATCACTAAACAATAACGCAGTTAATTAACCATCTATCTGCTCCGTCTCTCTCCTCAGCCCCCGTGTTATTCGCCTGGAAAAAAAGCCGTTGGATGGCCTGGGATTGGAGGTATCGGGTGGTTATCGCGTTGGAATTTACGTTATCGAGCTTCTGGAAAACTCTGTTTGTAAGGCTGCTGGCCTGCAAGTTGGAGATAGACTTTTCAAGGTAAGAAATCTCACGTTAAGTTTCTACTTTAGTCTTGCTTTCTGAAATTTTTACCTTTTTTCTCCTTAGTTGAATAGCTACGATCTAACAAGAGCTACTTTGGATCATGCCACACGGATTGTGCGCCTTCTCAGCACGTGCACTTATCTCAGGATCGAGGCTCAACTGGTATCAAGTAAGTCTTCTTCGTCCATAAAAAAAAAAATGTTGCTTATGCCTTCATGGTAGCAATTTTGTTGATATGACGTAACAGCTCCTTAGTTGTGCCATAGCCTGACTATGTTATTAACCTGATCTTGTAAAACAAATCTCAAACTATCCATTAAATGTACTTCAAAAGATGTTTTCGATGTCATGTAGCAAGGAAATCCAAAGGGGCAACATCTACCCCGAGAGGGGGCTTATTAGCTTTCGTCCCCTGAAAACAGGGGGCTTATTTGAGGGGGGGGGCGGGGTGCTAAATAGAGAATTTACGGTACTTAGCGTGATGACTCGTGTTTTTGTAGATTACAAGGACATTCTGGAAGACAAACCTTACGATTCACTTTATGTCAGGTAAGTATGACTTAATGTAGCAGTGCCGTAATTCGTGCAATATCTCAGGGTTTTTCTCCAACAACGAGCTGACGTTCGGGATCATTTTTTTTCCTTTTCGCTTATACGTTGTTGAAAATGGACGGTTGAGCATGTGTCGAAAACGAGGACGAATTTGCTGTGCAAAGTCGTCGTACTACGACCATGGAAAACGGGATTGACACTGCACGCAGGCATGCGCCGTGGCATTTGTTCCTAACCATAGCACTTGTGATCATCGTTGAATCTTAAACTCTTCGTCTCCTCTGATTTATTCATACTTTCGAGTGCAGATTGCTTCCCTTATTGAACTCATCGTCGGTTTAATAACTGAATCTATTTATTACTATAATGGCTGCGGTCGCACAAGGGTTTGCCTATAAAGTAACAGCGGTGTAAACGTATCTGTTAACGTTTGACTGTTAACACTAAATCTTCTGTTTAAGGGTCGCATTTCGTTTGCTTAAGAATTGATTTTTGACTTGATGACAGGTGGGTGATGAACCTGGGATTTCAAGTTTTATTCAAAATAAAACATCATGCAGTTTCAACTCGCTCTCTTGGCAAGTTAACTCGAGATTTAAATTTAACTTTTATAGCTTGTTTATTAAGAAAACACCATTGTAAACACTGGTTTTTAACCCTAGTGCGGTCACAGCCAATGTTCGCATCCCCCCCCCCCCATCTGTTTCACAAAGATGATTTTGATTGACTGATTGATTGATTGATTGATTGATTGATTGATTGATTGATTGATTGATTGATTGATTGATTGATTGATTGATTGATTGATTGATTTTGTTCCTCAGAACTATTCACCCATACAAAGCTATGTCTCCAGACGAGCTCAGCTTCACGGTGGGGGAAACGCTACATGTAATCAACACGCGTGCAAACTATGATCAAGCGAGGCAAAGTTGGAAATGGGTGGCTCAACGCATGAGGAAAGACACCAAGGTTCTTGAAGAAGGTCTAGTTCCTTGCATGGGAAGGTAGGCTTTAGAGAATTCGTTCCCAGAACTTGTAGTAGCAAGTAGCAGGGGACGGGAGGGACTGCACCTGATCGCACCTGACCATCATGGCACAAATGGTATTCTGTAACCACTCGACCACAAGTCATAGTAATGAACTTACGCAACAGAGGAAAGACGGCAAACCCTTTGTGACAAGCGTGACATTAAAAATTCGTTTGAAAAAAAACGTTTCGTCAAACTCTGCCCTCCTTTAAACAGATCTTTTAGTAAATGACCAGAAAACATTAATGTGAAGTGAAGATCACGACAAAGCACACAGTCAAGTAATTACCTTGTCACGTTTGTCACATACAAGCGTCAGCGCGTTTCGCCGTCCTCTCCTTTCTGCCGTCTTGCTGCGTAAACTCAATAGTATGAGAACCACTGACAATAAGCAGTCGAGATGTCGCGATTTACAACTTAAGTGACGTGAGAGACTGCGAATCGCGAGACAAGCAATATTCTCCTGTTTATTGTTCTTACCGCTCGAATAGGCCATTTTCAAAATTGTGTGCGGACAGCCCTAGCCTTTGAATAGGAGCATGGCTTAGGGTGGCCTTGTTTTGTTTCAGTCCTTACTGCTTTTCGTGAGCAAATCGTGTTCTTCTCTTGCTACCAGGTCCGTTATCATGTGAAAAACAAGTAGGTAGAAACAAAACAAGGCGCTCAGCCTCGCTTCTATTCAGAGGCTAGGGAGCTGAGCACACTACCTTAAAATGGCCTACGTTTAGACATGAGAATAAGAAACCTGATAATTTGTAGGAGTAACACAAAACAGAACCCTAGTTCCTTTGGTTATAATTATTTCCCTTTCCTTTAACAGTATTCCAGAACATGTTGAGTCATCAGTCTTGTCTCAAACTCTTCAGCGGTTTGATTCTGAGTCTGAGGAACGTATGAGTGATGATACACCATCAACATTAAAGAGAGCTTCAACTGATCGGCGCAGCATCATTCAGAGATACCGCAAACTTATGAAACGAGAGAGCAGGGAATTCGCCCATAATACAGACGAAAATGGTGAGAACTTTCTCATAAAAGATAACTAACCTTTTTCACGGCAAGCCGCCTGCCTTAAGTCAGCTTAACCGTCTTTTAATACTTCCCGATTTCTGAAACCGTTTCAAAGGTCAGAACCCGCTTGTACGGCGTCAGACGGAACCATAGTCCCATGTTACTAAGTACAATTCATTTAAATGTTTATACAGTGACTTATCCTCTACAGACTCCAAACGAGAAAACAGACACCCAAGAAAAAGAATGGAGAGCTAGATAGCTAGATAATTTTCCAGTGATCGCTCAATTCACCCTTGCAGTTTCTTATAATTTTTGTAACACTTAACATGCAGTGAATACCCATGTGATGTTTTTTCTTTCTTCTGCAGGTAACACGAACAAGGTGATGTTTTACGAAATCCTAAGCAAGATTTCGGACTGATCTTATGACCTCCCGTATTATCTGGGATATAATTATTGTATTTAAAACAGGTCTCTGTATATCATAAATTACATATATTGCATGTTTCTTGGTAATCACTTATTCCCCGTTATGACAAATGATATCATTAACTTTCTCCTTGTTATATCAGTGCATAATTAACCAGAGAGTTCAGGAGAATTGTGACCATCCAATACGAATTATCTCTTCCTACCAACAACTTTTGTGTACTTATTCTGCAACGAATGTGTCGGGCAGAGGGGATTGGAAACGCCTTCATCGTCCTGTAAAGATAAAATATGAACTGATTTCACACACGTATTACTGAATAAGGAGTCATTACTTACACTTTTATGCAGTTTATTATGTGATGATATTACAAGGAGAGATTCGGTACGGTTTAATAGTCGTTTCTGTTGTTTCTATTTAAGCACCACAACTTCCTAGTCGTACCTTGTTTTTAATGCCCGCACCCCCCCTCCCCACCCCCCGTTCCCTGTTTTATGGATGTCTGGTGGTAATCTGGGTTTATTTTAACGTCAGCGATCGAAGGCGAAGTTGAATGTGACTGACGACCTTTTGGCTTCTTTACTTCGATTGTTCTTATGTATTCATTAATTAACATTACAAGAATAAAAACGACCAAAAGTTAGTTATTTTTTAAATGCCATTTCTTGCGCTTTTTAATTTTTATATGCCTCTTCCCGTTGGTCCCTTTTCCCAGTTATAATCAGTTCATTCATCTGCATGCTAATATAGCAAAGTAAGTGTTCCTCACCCCCTCTAGTCTCCCGCACCCCCCCCCCCCCCCCCCCCCCCCCCCCCCCCCCCCCCCCCCCCCCCCCCCCCCCCCCCGCTTTCTTCTCCTCTCTTGTCCTCTACACGTCACTTTACTTTCTTATATACCTTTCTCTTTTTTTTTTGATTACGTCACTATTAACTCATTTATATTAT